ACATGGTGCTGGTTTTGTAGCCCTGCAAAATGCAAGAATTATGGGGTAACCAAGGCTTGAGCTAAGGTTCCAAAATGAATGACACCAAGCAATGTATGGAAAGATTGCATTCCCTACAAGGAGGCTTTCATAGGCCAATATGTGTAGCTGTGAAAAGTGAAGCATAAGTTGAAATGGAGATCCTGGGATGAAGTGCTGGGACCATGGGATATCAGATGAGGAAAGCTGTAAGCGCAGAGAAAACCAGACCAAGAGAGAGGCTGTATGTGCAGAGCTGGAATTCTCTCCACTGGCATCCTCTCTCCACACTATTGTCCTTCCTCAAGCCCATTGCACTTAGCCTCATATAAACAACTTCACACAGGCTCACAGCTTCCCTCCCATTTTCTCAGCCAGTCTGCTCTTCCTCTGCAGTGATTTCAGCCTGTGGTTTTCTATAATTGTACAGGCTGTGTATTAATTTTTTTGATACTGAGTCATACACTAAGGTCATCATCCATCATCACCAGGTGAATATGGCCCCCACATAAAGTTTTTATCTGAGGAATTAGCATGATAAGATCTGGTTTATATGATTTCTCTGGTACTGAAGAGATGACTCAGTGGTTCAGAGCACTGGCTGCTCTTGCAGAGGACCCAGGTTTGGCTCCCAGCACCCACATAGCAGCTAAAATCTATCTGTGATTCCATTTCCAGGGGATCTGACACCCTCTTTTGGCCTCTGCAGGCGTGGCATAACTAACAGGTGCATTTATATACATGCAGGCAAACACTGATAGATATTAAATAAAAATGAATACATAAAATCTTAAAGATTTTCCTGGCTGTTGTGAGAGAAAGGGATTTGAGGCAGCAGAGGACAGGTCAACAGGAAGCACACAATAGCTCAAGAAGAGAAATCTTTTAGAGAACAAAGTGTTGATGTACCTTTTCTTTACAAAGATTTATAGAAAGTTTGAAAAACTTTAAAATTCTGAAACCAGGATATCCAAATGTCATTTTATCACTGGTAATCATTATGAATTTAACAGAATAGACCCAAACACCCAGAAGTTGTGTCATCTAACCTTAGATATATACATTTGAAATCATCTCAATGCCTAAAATGTACAGAGAATGAGTTTACTAGGTTTTTCAAGATCACTCTTGCACCAACACTTATATACCACCTCATCTCTGCATGAAAGGCAGCAGAAGTATGCCATTTCTTTTGTTGTTGTTGTTGTTTATTCTGATTTGTAATTTCTCAAGACTGCTAAACAAAGACGGTGAACCTACTTCCCCACAGATCACTAAAAATACAAACAATGTTCCTCCATTTATTCAATTATTATTGAAGGAGGGGGTGGGGGTTCAGTTCAACAGTGTGATGATTTGAATGAAAACGTCCCCCACAGGCAGATGATGGTGCTGTTTCGGGAGGTCTTAGAAGGTGTAGCTATCCTGGAGGAAGCATGTCACTGGGGGTGGGCTTACAGAGTTCTTGCTTCCAGTGCCTGCGTGATGATGTGAGAGCTTAGCTTCTGCTGCTCCTGCTCCAGCCACCTCCAGCCATCATGCCTCCCCCTGCCATGACGGACTGTAATTCCCCTGGAACCGTAAGCTCAGATAAATTCTTCCTTCTATAAATTGCTTGGGTAAGTGTTTCTATCACAGCAACAGAAAAGTGACTAATACAAACAGTATAGTGCTTGCCTAGCATGTGCAAGGTGCTGAATTTAATCCCCACTACTCATAAATATATATGTGTTTATATAGAGATATATGCATGTATTTTAGAGAGGGAATGAAAATAATACCCCATTTGATGTTTCCCTCAGTCAACAACACAATGTGAATTCAATCCCATCAGATTACAGTGCTAATAAGAAATTTTTATTCTGCTACACAATCAAAATCTATAAAAGCTTACTGTATGTCCTGGTCTTGGTGTTTGTTACATGAATATACTCAATTTGTGAAGAACTCATTCAACTGTCATTTGAAATATACACTCCCCTCTGTGTGTGTGTGTGTGTGTGTGTGTGTGTGTGTGTGTGTAAACTGTATATACAATATATTTCAACTTTTTAAAGTCTGTGAAAGGTCAAATATATCCATGTGATTATCCCTTCTCTATAATGTCAATTATTCTCACAAAAAATACAGTTTCATCTTTGTGTAGTATGACTTATCTTCACAAAGTTACCAACTCACATTCTTGCAATTTTATAATTAAAATGTAATATAAAATTCAGACATTAATAGTATATATATAAATA